GAGTCAAAAAGCGCTTGATTTATTGAGTGAAGATGTTACATTTTAAGCAAAGCCATGCACATGAAATATACCCTGGAGCTTAATTTGAAAAGTGCTAGATCATACAAAATCACAAATCGAAGAATGTTTGGTTAAGATACTGAAGAAAAAAATCACAGACTGTGTAAAGAATATCCACCTAATTTACCTTGGTAGTGGCAAAATAGTTGGTGCTTATATGTGAACGATCAAGTAAATCTTCTGCCATAACGACAGTATATACTCCGTATCTCAATGCACTGATGTTCCATTTACAGCAATATTGAAACTAAGGAAATACTAGTAAACCTAACTGTGCTAATTGCTATGTTAGTAGCTGACATAATAACTTCTATTAGTCTTTCACGTGTTTGTATAGAAAACAAAATAAAAACAAATCATATAAAAATACTCTTGACAATTTTCACTGAGCTAAAATATTTGATACAGATGTACGTAAAGCAATCACACTCACCAAGATTGTCTGCAGATTTTAGGCCTCGTACGTGTTCTTCTGAAACTCTTCCCTTTCTAGTAAAGGGACTAAATTTTAAATCCAAAACAACTATTTCAAATCATGATCATGTATTCCTGTATAGCCATATTATGTCCTCTAATCTATTCTCTGCTGAGTCCTGGACTTTAAGCGTGTAAGGACACAAAATGATTAATTCTGTCTCTTCCTCTGCTTAAACAGGAAGAACAAAGCCACAGATTCTGTTTCTTCCTCTGCTTAAACAGGAAGAACAAAGCCACAGATTCTGTTTCTTCCTCTGCTTAAACAGGAAGAATAAAGCCACAGATTCTGTCTCTTCCTCTGCTCAAACAGGAAGAAAAAAAAGTCACAGGTATGTTTAGTACTGAAACTGAACTTATTGAATATAAAAGTAAGAATGGAAGTGGAGAAACTTTTGGAGCCAACAACTTGTTGTGTTACTGGTAACTCTACCCTAAATGCACTGTATTCAATAATGAGACTTCTTACATCTCTGATACTTCTGAAGGGGATGGCAATATTACCATGTCAGCATCAGATATGATGGTCGAAGGAGGTTCCAAGCATTAACCTTTAATGATTGAAAAACCCACTTTGTCTGTAACTTATTGGCTACACAATGCTCTGAGTGAAGAAATCATTGAACAAAAAAAAAGTAACTTGTCCATAGAGGAGACCCTAAAAAGGGATGAAGAAAGGCGGTCATATTTAGGGAAACCACCAAGAACCAAAGTTATGCCAAGACGTCATTCAAGGAAGCGACATCTTCTAAAAACCCAAATCCAAGCTCCAGTGCCGCCCATTTAACATCAAAATTGATGATAACGATGGTGAATAACTAGATTAAGTTAATGTAGTCAGGATCTGAACTTTCATGGATGCCTCGTACTCCATTGACTAGCATCCAAGTGGGAATGGATATCTTCATGATACACTCAGATGTGCTCATTGCCAGATCCAGTTCATTCTCTAGATGGCAGCCCGTTACCTTTTTGAGCTGTTGGATCCTGGAAGAGGAGAGGTGAGTAATGTTCAGTAGAGTGTGAAAGCTATTGTCCTGGCCTAAATCTATCTAGTGGTATGCATTCATTGGGATGTTCGTTTGTTGTGCACCCAAGAATTTGAATGCAGTAGGGAGGTTACATGCTCGTGAATTAAATTGTTAGTTTGTTTTAATTGTAAAGGTTATTTAGTGTCAGAAGTGACGATAAATGGGTAAAAAGCTGTGATGAGTTTATCATCATAATACCCCATACCTCTGTGATATATAAGATATAGGTATTTAGTTGTTTACCAAAATTCAAGATGTGTAGTTCTCATATAGCAGAGAACCCTAACTCTGGATCTCAGCATCTGTTATGTAATATTCAGGGAGCGATGGACGTCAGTGCGACTTATTCTTAGCTGTCTTGTATGTTCGTTTTTTAAGTGTGTGGGATTTTCTGTCTCTTGAAAACAGTTCTCATGTAACTGGGGCAGGCTGATGTACAAGTATAACTTCCAGGATGTGTTGAGCATAGTTGTTTAACCTTTGTGTGCCAGCTCTGTTGCTAAGATGTATTACTGGTTTTTGAGGGAACTGAATGTAGCATCAGATGAGTAAAATTATGATAAAAGTTCTGTAAGACCAGTGTATTAAATTTTTAGCCAGCTAGTAACATACAGGGCTGACAGAAAATAAGTTTATGTATAAACATATAGGTAGTAAGAGAATTACACAGCCTAGACCTTTGTCAGTTGCATAAACACATATATATGAAAAACATTATAGCTCACGCTGCAAAGCGACGTTGAAACACAGTAAATTTGATTTCACTTCGAATACAACAGTATCAATGCAAATCACATCAGAATTTCAATATACCTTCTGTGCATTTCAACAACGGACTCTAGACAAGGTAGAACATGATAAATAGCAGTAATTACACAATGTTGAATGTGGTTATTTTCTCAAGTATTATAAGTGGGTAGTTCCTAATAGCATTACGTGATAAATAAATACGGTTCTAAGTGTAACTTGCAGTGCCATCTATTGTTTATTGTTTTCATAAATATGTTCTGCATATGTATCAACTGGCAGAGCTACAGGTTGTATTATTCTCACACCACTATGTTTACTCCCAAATTTGTCTTATTTCACCCCTATGCATATATACACTGTTGTTGTGTTCTTTCAAATACGACTTCCTTCATCTGCTCCATTAAATTTGTGTTTCAGAACATCGGTTTCTACGGAAAGCCAATTTAAATTTGTGTTTAATCACCTATTCCTATTAACGTTTTTTTTCTTTCCTTTTTTTTTAAATATGTATCTCGCACTTGCCTTATCGGCACCACCTGGTGATAGTGAATAAAGTTTGTACTTGATTTGTGAAATTAATCATGTCTTTTGTTCCTCTGATGCTGTTAAGTATGTTTTAAGGTTGTAGTAAAGTCGTATTATATAACTTTTGAACTATAAAACTACTGTACTTTTGGTTTATTTCACTTTTCAAACTAGTAAGTGTAAGATGTCTGATTAAAGCCAAATGGAAAACATTATAGTTGAATTACCATTATGTCATTCGATTTTACTATGTTAAGAATCTTCGCGATTATTGATTTTGCTTGATGGAAGTTTAGGGTAGAAACAGAATTAAAGCGTTATTTGCAAAAATAAATGAGTAAACAAAATTTTAAATTGAACTGTGCCTTATAGTTAGTTTCATATTACTAACAAATAGATAAAATAAAGAATGACAAGCGGTTTCGAAAACCCGCAGATCACAAGAATGATTGTACGAGTTTGAGTTCGTAGAATTCATGCCGGATTCGGATTAACATTTTTCAGAAGATAAACTAAAGAATACGATTTTAAAATTACATTTTCGAATTTCTTATAAAGCTCGCATTGACCAACATGATTTAGTATATATATTTTTTTTAATTCGAAAGCATAAAACATACAATGCCACCAGAACGTATTATTAGTGAAGCAAAGCAAATATTTTGCCTATAAGCCATATATTTATATATCTATGTAAGAAAACCAAACTAATAGTTACAGGTTGAGCTGAAAGGAAGCATAAGCCAAAGAAAGTAACCATCCAAAACAGTGTTTACTTAGATGTGGTAGGTAGCTTATTATTTTGAAAAAAACACATAATTTGTGTCATCTAAAAATTAAGGTCTATTTGTTTCACTGGAAAACAAATTATTCATCTTTTTAATTTATACAAGTTATTTCTAAAGTGTTATTTAATGATATATGGTATTTATTAGAGCACTCTGTAAACAAGTGTGAAATAAACAAAATTTCTAAAAGATTTTGTGAAGATTGACTTGTGAGTTTAATTAGATAATAAAGAACTAAGAATAATTCCTTTCCATAGTAAGTAAGATTCATTCAGAAGGATAGCTTTTTCAGATCTCAAATTTTGCGCGAAAGTACTTGCCAAGTATAGGCTCTGAACACCTTCACCTGTGTAAGATATTATATTGTTGTTATCCACACTACAGGCTCTGAACACCCTCACCTGTGTAAGATATTATATTGTTGTTACCCACAGTACAGGCTCTGAACACCCTCACCTGTGTAAGATATTATATTGTTGTTACCCACAGTACAGGCTCTGAACACCTTCACCTGTGTAAGATATTATATTGTTGTTACTCACAGTATAGGCTCTGAACACCTTCACCTGTGTAAGATATTATATTGTTGTTACCCACAGTACAGGCTCTGAACACCTTCACCTGTGTAAGATATTATATTGTTGTTACTCACAGTACAGGCTCTGAACACCTTCACCTGTGTAAGATATTATATTGTTGTTATCCACACTACAGGCTCTGAACACCTTCATCTGTGTAAGATATTATACTATTTCAGATAAGCGAAATTTTGGTATTCCCGCGAAATTTCACAGGCTTATTGATCTAATTTTAAGCATTGATTACCATAAATAAGTGATATGTTATAAAATTGAATTGATTTTAATAGCAGGATTTAGCAGCAATATTATTGATTGTTGTGGGTATTTTTTCATTCTCAGGCTTTCGTTATGATGTTATTGGATCAGAAAATTAGATAGATAATTAATAAGATATTACCTGTATTATAATAATAAAGAATATTACGTTATTCAGAAACATATTTAGTCGTATATATATGGAAATATTGGTTGATATATTATTCATTTTTTCAACAAAATTTTATTCATTACTCTCATCAGTATAACAAGATAATTAACAAACTAAAGGAAAATATTGAAAACAGTTTCGAAACAATGAATTCAAGCACCAGTAACTTCTTAGAGATTGAGCACGGAAATAATATACGTAGCTAAAACTGTATACAATATTCATTTCAAACATATATTTTTAGCTTCTTAACTCTGTTAACCTTTTAATCAATAAAGTGCAACTAATGAGTTTTGCCGAAGAGAAATTAACTAGTAAAATATATGCAGAACTTATGAAGTGCTAGAGAATAAAATCTACAAACCTATTGAAGAATCTTCAAGGGTTCCTAACTTTGTTGCTATGGCAGTTGAATCATCATCATCATCACTGATGTTATTTCGACCACCTAAAAAAATAGTTCAAAGTTCGGTATTGTTGTGGCATTTTCAATGTTTTAACAATATGTTATCAGAATTATTGACAAATAAAAAGGAATGTGTGATCGTTCGAAGTGTTTTACATTTAAAAGTTTGTTTGAATGAGAACTGAGATAATGATTATCCAAAACTTGTCCACGTGTGGAATCTGAACTCATAACATTTAGTTAATTTAGGACAGCAGTTTCAATAACCCAGTGTTTGAACAACTATTATATTATTACACGCTTCATTCTTGGGTAGCTTTTATTTCCACCCATTTACACCTTCCAGTAATATTATAATAGGTTCTCCCCTCATGGAATACATGACTTCTCCCAAATCTTTATTGGAAGAATTTTCTATCTGTGAGCAAAAATGCTCTCATAATATTCCAACATGGATAAGTTAATTCTGTTTATCCGAACAGATTTTATTGACAAGTTTCCAATATATTGCTTTAAAGGAACTTCGCCTGGCTCGGCCTTCATGTTATTGAGGAATTTTGAAAATGTGTAGGGAAGTTCAGCAGATGTGTTTCTATTACTGGTGCTGGGAACCCCATTTTATACTGCAAGTACTCAGTTCGCGAGGTGGTCTTGGGAATTAGATGTTTTCCTAAGCGAAGAAGTTTAATTAAAACTTCACGCTGTAACTTAAGAGAAAGACCTTATTACAAGTAATAAAAATGTCTCACTAAATTCTTAAACAAAAAAAAAGAAACAATTATTCTCCTTGAGAAATTTAACATAGAGATGTGGTTTGTTTGTTTTAGCGCAAAGCCACACAATGGGCTACCTGCGTTCTATCCACCGCGATGAATCGAACGCTGCATTTTAGCGTTGTAAGTCCGTTATTGCTGACTCACCGTGGGACGAGAGGTACAGGTACAGATAACTTTAACTTTTAATCTTATCGCTAGAATTGAGTATCATCTCCAGACATCAAATCTTGTCGAAAACATTGATATATTTTTTTGTTCTGATATAAGAAACGATAGGTGTGTATCTGGATCTATAAAGTCCTTTTTCTATTATCAAAAGTCTTTCATCCAAGTGGACAATTTAGTTTTTCTTTTTAATAAAATGCCAACTATGTGAGATATCAGCCTCATAAATGACATGTAAGACCTAGTTAATTATGTAATTAAAATTATTAAAACAATGGTTCTTATGAAATTATAAGTACGTGTGGAACGTTTCAAGCTTTAATATTGTAGACGTATGCGTCTTTATAAAAATCATTGGTATCACGCACCAAACTCTGTAACTTGAACTTTTATCACGCACGGAAGCCTCTCAAATGTATAACTAAACACTACTGTAGAAACCACTATGAAGAAATTCAGTAATGAATAATTCTTTATTAAAACTACTGGTGTCTAGTTGTAGAAAATCAACTACTTTCTTATATTTTAAAACAATCCTAAAGAAATGGCGAAGTACTGAATAATAAAAAAAACTTTATTCAGCTTCGTCAGTGAAATTTTAATAATAGAAGATGTATATTCCTAAAACCGGTGGAAAAAAAAAGAGTTAACTAAAAGTTAAAATTTTTTTATTCTTGTTATTGTACCTCGCAATTTTTTAGTATGCAACAGAAATTTATTGTTTGTTTAGATCTTACGTTGTGCGAATTTTAGATTTCAAAAAATAAAAGTCACAAACATATTTTTCTAAATGAATACTGTTTTATTGTTTGTTATTGCCGACATTGTATTTCCTTTCAACCATTATTCAGTAAAATTGGCAATTTGTGAACGTTAAACCAAAAATTCTATTATTAATAACAAGAACCATATTAAAGTGACAAGAGCCTATGTAATGGCTTATATAATACAGTAGAATTAGGCCTTAAGTAAATTCAGTACGTTATAGATCAGTGAACAGTAGCGATTACAAAAGTTATTGTTATATTTAAGACATGTACGAACTTACAATGTATATAGTCGTGATGTCATGAAAACAGCGGATACTGGTATTCAATCTCAAATTTTATCTCTTTTTTAGCACTTTTTACTATAATATACATCATTGAACAAATATTAAACAAAGCCACTTACGTGGTTTGAAAAACAAAGAACATTTTTGTGTGTCTGAATTGCCTAATTGACTTGTACTTGCTTTCTGTAGTTTTGTGATGATTAGGTTTCTATAGTTTACCATCGAAGGAAGTTAAGATAAGAGAAATATTAAACATGAAGAGTAATTTACCATTTTAAATTCAACTCTCGAAAATAAAACACCAAATAAAACGTATCTGTTTCAGTACATTTCTATCTTTACAAGCGAAATGAGATCACTTTCATCTAATTAGTTTATCAATAAAAGTTTTTAAGGATGCATTAAGAAAATTAGTTTAAATTCAGCTAATGTGGTGAATGCATCGTATGTTATTTCTAATAAATATTCTTAAAAACATTCGTGTTCTTTTGTATTGCTAAGGCTACTTAGCACTTCAACCATAATGAACACTAGCTTTCCCTTTAATGAGTAATGAAATTTCGAATAAAAAGGACAAAAAAGTTAATATCAAAGTTTCATTGTTCTTATTATATATTATCACTGTTTTAGTATCAGTCATAAATTACACAGTTTCGTTCTAATGAAAGTGTGAAATTGCCTTTTTTTTTCATAGCTCATGTGATTGTTCCAGCTGGTTTAAAGGTTGTATGTGTATATGTTTGTGAAGTTGATCAAATAAATGACGAATAATAATGTGTAGTTGTGAGTAAACGAAAAACACAAAGTGTTTAATGAAACTTTCCATAAGAATAACTTATGGGATAGAAAATGTATGTTTACTTTATCAATAAAGGTTTATTTCGGAAATTAAATTTGTTATGAAGTACTATAGTTTGATCTTAATTTCCAGAGGATGACATGAAATGGACAAAGTAAAAGTAAATGTGTTTATTATTTTATCCAAATGTACTTCATATTACGATAATTCTTAAATACAACGGGTTGACAATGCTGGAGAAATTGACAAAATATTTGATATTTTTATCCATATTTCTGTCCTGAAAAAATAAGTAGGAGCCAGAAATCTGGAGAAAGAGGAAGAAGGCAATAATAACTTTTTGCTAAACATTTTTATGTAAAAAAGGAGGCTTATGAATTACAAATATTGAATACTCATAGTAGCGAGTTTAATATATTTCTCAATGCGAATGTTAGTTGTTTTCTCTTTTTCTCAGTGTTAATTATTTGTACGTATTGTATATCTAAATGTTGGTCGTTTTTATTGTTTTACAGAGTTTTAGTTCGAAATATTTGACACCCAAATGTTAGTCTTTTTATCTGTTTCTCAGTGTTAATTTAGTTATACGTATTGTATATCTAAATGTTGGTCGTTTTTATTGTTTCACAGAGTTTTAGTTCGAAATATTTGACACCCAAATGTTAGTCTTTCTATCTGTTTCACAGTGTTAATTTAGTTGGACATATTTGACATCCGAATGTTAGTCGTTTTATCTGTTTCTCAGTGTTAATTTAGTTGTACGTATTGTATATCTAAATGTTGGTCGTTTTTATTGTTTCACAGAGTTTTAGTTCGAAATATTTGACACCCAAATGTTAGTCTTTTTATCTGTTTCTCAGTGTTAATTTAGTTGTACGTATTGTATATCTAAATGTTGGTCGTTTTTATTGTTTCACAGAGTTTTAGTTCGAAATATTTGACACCCAAATGTTAGTCGTTTTATCTGTTTCTCAGTGTTAATTTAGTTGTACGTATTGTATATCTAAATGTTGGTCGTTTTTATTGTTTCACAGAGTTTTAGTTCGAAATATTTGACACCCAAATGTTAGTCTTTTTATCTGTTTCTCAGTGTTAATTTAGTTGTACGTATTGTATATCTAAATGTTGGTCGTTTTTATTGTTTCACAGAGTTTTAGTTCGAAATATTTGACACCCAAATGTTAGTCTTTCTATCTGTTTCACGGTGTTAATTTAGTTGGACATATCTGACATCCGAATGTTAGTCGTTTTCCCTTTTACACATATTGTACATATTAGACATTTGTGATCCCAGATCATGAAAATATTTGATGTTGATAAAGTCAGCAATATGAATAACCAAACGTGTATGTTAAGTGGGTTTTACTCACTGTTCACAACTGGGGAATGATTTTACGATAAGAGCCAACTTACCTTCTGGCGCTGTAACGATAAGACTAAAGTATTCGCTTGTTGTTGCTTTTGTAGTCGTTGTCTTTGGTTGTAATTCTAAAGATAAACAACATTATATAAATAGTTGAACATCCAACAATTCACTCTGCAGTTTTCAAAAACAGAATGTGTATCAAGAATAAGGGTTAATAAGAATTTATAAATTAAAGAAGTTTAGATGATACAACTTTTAGGTTAAATTATTGTATACGTACAATATCAAGTAACATTTTAGCATGCTTATGTGAGTAATGCGTACTAGGGATCTTATCTGCTTTTTTTTTTCGATAACAAATTATGTTTTTCAAAGCTAGCGGTGTTCCTTTGTCTTTGTCAAATCTATGGATTTATCTGCTATGCCTTAATTTCTATGTAACTACAAAGGTTAATGCAACACGCCTATCTGGATATTATGGCCTTTACCACAATTAATTTATCTGCTATGCCTTATCCCCCCAGGAGCACAGCGGTATGTCTCCGGATTACAACGCTAGAAACCAGGTTTCGATACCCGTGGTGGGCAGGGCACAGATACCTCATTGTGTAGCTTTGTGCGTAACTTCAAACAAACAAACAATGTTATGCCTTAACTCGTTTGTAATTGTGTAGGTTATTGTAGCACACTCGTTTTGGAATTATGACCTTAACTTTAATAGATGCTCTTGAACACTACGGGGTTATGAACGTAAGTTATTTAATTCTGTGGATGTGTTCCCTCTTAATCTATGAGCATCATCATTATTTACGCAGTTTTAAGTTTGATATAGTCGCATTTTTATTTATGTGGCTTACAAATCCCATTCATTAAATAAAGTAAATTATCAATGTTCATAATATTTATTTTCGGGTTTTAAAATGGTGGCCTTAACAGGTCTCAAGCTTTATTGTTAACAAATGTCTTAACAAATTATATCACTGTTTGGGGGTGGGGAGTTCTTCTTTGAAAGTAATACATGTACACTAAACAGAGTGTTTAGCATTTGAACATCTGGTATTGTACCATGTCTCCTTCTATGAGGCGGAATCCTTGAAATCCGCCAAAGACAGTACCACCACTTCTGAATTTGGGAAACATAACTGAATGGAATATGACAATAATAGTACAAATAATTCTTGTAAAAATTATACAAACTAATATTTGTTTGTTTAATGTTGAATTTCGTCCACTACTACTCTAGGGCTATCTGCGTTAGCCGTGTTTAATTTTAAAGTTATAAACTAACTCTTGGGCTGCTCTAATCGAATAGTGAGATTTGACTGTCACTCTTCTTATAATACACCCACGGCCAAAAGTGCGGATGGCGATTTATTTTTTATTTTTTCTACAGTAAAGGAGCGCAAACCATAGACCTTGTATCCACATTCCTGCACGTTAACTACCGGGCCGTTACAATCCCCAAAACTAATAATATGATAATAATGTAATACTTTGTTAACCTACTGGTTTTTAGGACGTAAGAAAAAAGTTAGTGGGTAAATATACTTTGTAAAATAATGGTTGACTTTTTATTTCCAAAGGAAGTTCTTTGCTCAAGTGTTCACCCTATGTAATTAAAATCAATATCTGTGAAAGAAGATTATGGTAACGTAAACAGTTTGTTTGTTTTGAATTTCGCGCAATGCTACACGAGGGCTATGTGCGCTAGCCGTCCCTACTTTAGTAGTGTAAGCCTAGAGGGAAGGCAGCTAGTCATCACCACCCACTCTTGAGCTACTCCTTTACCAACGAATAGTGGGATTGACCGTCACATTATAACGCCCCCACGGCTAAAAGGGCGAGCATATTTGGTGGGATGGGGATTCGAACCAGCGATCCGCAGATTGCGAGTCGAGCGCCCTAACCACCTGGCCATGCCAGACCACGTAAACAGAAAAAGTCGTCTGTGGTTCCGGAAAACCTCTTTCTTTAATCGTCGATAAAAATGTTTGTAGTTTGTTTTATTGCATACATTGCTCTCGAAGAAGGTGAGAGTATGTGTTTGTGTATTATCTTATAGCAAAGCCACATCGGGCTATTTGCTGTGTCCACCGAAGACTTACCGCTGTCCCACCGGCGAGCAGCTGAAACATTAGCAAAGTATACAATATAGATAAATAGTATTTAAAATTTGATATAAGTATGGTAACCGACAAAGAACGTTTAGATAAAAATTTGAACTGATGAGTTATCTTTTCTTAAGTTTGAATACTTGTTCTAGTATTTGTAATAAAGTAAGTATCAATAAGGGAATGTGAAATACACAAAATTATGTGTAGTACATAAACGCAACTTGTAACTTTTTAGGATGTATTATAAATACAGTTAGAGTTTATGATTAGAATAATATACATTAAACATTTTGTGTAAAATATAATTGTACTGTATTTCACAATTCACCCATGTGTGTTTCCTTGTTATAGACACCATATTAGTCAGATATTAATATTTAAAGTAATTAGTTATTTTATCACAATAATCTAATATTTACATGTTAGGTCACATGTCGTGTTTAGCTTAACGAATTTATTCAAGGAATTCACTGTCAGTTCCAGAAGTTGGATCTTTGTTGAATAATTTCATCTCTATCGAACAAGGAGTGAACAGTTGTAGATACTCTCTTAAGAAAGTGGCTATATATTTCAAAGTCTAGCAAGTAATTAGTTTCCTTTGACAAGTTATCATCATGCATGAATGGATTTAGAACTGGTATCTCTAATACAAACTTAGAGCGTTTGTTTGTTGAAATCTGCGCAAGTCTACAGTGAGGGCTATCTGTGATAACTATCCATAATTTTGAGTAGTTTGGTTGTTGTTAAGCTCTCCTCACTACGGGTGTCGAAACCCGATTCTTAGTGTCAAACCTGCAGACTTACCGTTGAGCTACTGGGGCCCATAATTTTGAAATTAAGTGACAAACCATATAATATTGAGTTTAAGAAAATTGCATGTAACCCAAAACTGTCCACTTGATACAGAAAAATTATTAGCCATACTGTAATTAGATATTGTTTGTTTGTATGTTTAAGCGCAAAGCTACATCTTGGGCTACCTGCGCTGTGCTCACCGCTGGTATCAATCTCCTATGTTTAGCGTTGTGATTCCCTCAAGCTAACCTCTGGTCCACTGGGTGGGTGGATGGATGAGGCTTGGATATTGTTAAATAATATAAGTAATTTGAATAAAAGGTTCATACAAGTAGCAGTAAGTCATGATTATCATGTTATTTTTCTGAAAAATACGATTATTTTTTATGTAATTATATATGATACTTTGGCATGATACCTTTATAAACAGAAAATATACAAAATACATTACCTATGTTTATGGCTAGGTTTGATTTTGGTTGCTTTAAGAGAACCAGTTGTGTATAAAATAATACGTTTAGTTATGTGAAGGCTTCTTATGAACTTTCAAATGTTGAAATGATCAAATAAAAAATTAGATAAAATATACTTATAAAGTTTTAGAAATATGTTTTACATGAGAACAACATTCCTTAGCTTTAGATAACAAATGCTTAAATTAAAATAAAATTGAGAGAAACATATTTTAAAATGTTCTATTAGCTGGTACGTAGGAATGAAAAAATGAGTACGTAACTAATAAATATTATAATGCATTTTAACTTAATGATTCGTTGAAATTTTATAAAGACGTTTCTATCAGTTATTCTATACCGTCTGGGAAGATAGAGGTCAATGTTGCAACCTTTAGCGAATTAACTAACCATATAAATAGATTTCCGCTACAGCTATTCCTACGAGATTTTTGGCCAAACACTTATAAACTCCCAGGTCCATTTTTTGGAGGTTATGGATCCTAAGAATGCCTTCAATCTTCTTTTCCTCGGCAGGACTCACTTTGATGTCATATTTCCTTCCTGAGTTGAGACCGGTTCCGTTTCCTTTAACCCAGTAGATACGAGGAGAAGGAAATGAATCAACCAAGCAGGTCAGGACAGCAGTTGTTTTCAGTTCAGCTCCGAGGTAACCATTAGGGACAGTTATGGCTGGGGAGTCTAAAATAATATATTGTTATTCACATTTACATGTTCTTACTATACTAATAAAGATTTTAAAAACATTTTTTTTTAAACCAAATTAGTCTCAACAGTTTGTTTGTTTGTTTTTTGAAATTCGCGTAAAGCTACACGAGAGCTTTCTGCGAGTCGAGCGCCCTAACCACCTGGCCATGCCGGGCCAGTCTCAACAGACATAAATGTGATATCTTATTTAAATCCTGTTTTATGTTTATCTGCAATAAGTCTTCGTTTCTTTGTTTCTAGTTAAGCACAAAGATTTACGATGGGCTATTTGTGCTCTGCCCACCACGGGTATCGAAACCCGGTTTCTAGCTTTGTAAGTCCGCAGACATACTTTAATAAATATGTAAATATGTTAACGATTTCTTTTCTTTTTCACCTAAATAAATTAAAGTTACTTATGATGAATTAAAAAGGACTCAAAAAACCCAATAGATGTTAAGTCTTCGTTTGTTTACTTTAAGTGCAAAGCTCCAAAATGTGATATCTGAGCTCTGTCCAACGGATGGATCGAACTCCGAATTTTAGCGCTATAAGTTCTCAAGCTAACCGCTGAGCCACTGGTGAGATTTGACAAGTCTAATAAAGCTTGTTGAATAACTGAAACATAGTGTATCTTAATCAGTTATTGTTGTATTTATAATTTTCACGCAGAACTACACATAGCGTTCGCTAATTTTGAAATTGACAGACTAGAAGGAAAGCAGTTAACAGCACCACCGGCAACTATTGAACTACTCTTGTCAGAACGAATAGTGTGATTTGACAGTCATTTTTATGGAACACCCACATCCTCAAAGTTCTTAGTGACTTTTCTGCGGAAACGGGGTGAGAACTATAAATTATCAAATTCCAAGTCCGGATACACTAATACTAACTCATGCCCTATCAGTGTATTACAGTAATAACTTTTATATTACTCAAACTAATATTATTCAACCATAAGACCAAATTATTTTAAAAGAAAAGCTTAATAAAAGTATCTCTCTTTAATAGTACCGGTCTCCCAGCAGCTCAGTAATAAGTCTGAAGGCTTTTAACATTAAAAACCGGGTTTTGATATTTGTGGTCGGAACAGTAAAGATTGCTCATTGTGTAGCTTTGTGCTTAATAACAAATACACAGACAAAAAACTTAGAAAAACTGCCACATTAATATGAATAACATAAAGTATTGGTATTAAGGTATTAACATAATATATGCTATTATAGAGGCTTAATTATACTTTAAAACAACGATTTGTATGTGCTCGCAGAGGCGAGCCTCGGTTCTACGAGTAACACATTTAGCACCTATATGCCTGAATGACGGCAAATTCCCGACCACTCAATAGTGTAATCTCACCAGGATAGAAATTGGCTGGGGAATATCTACTTGAGGAACAATATTCAAATAGCAGATTGTTAAATGTTGTACAGCTGAAAGACACACCATTTCTTGGTTGGGAGTTTTCAGCGTTCTTTGTGAAATTAGAAAAACTGGTACAGCAGGGCGTTTAAAACAGCAATGAACTCGGGTCATAGCCCTGATCAGTAACGTAAGGGATATCATTACGAATAAGATTCTTCCCAACGAAAAACCATTGCGATGAAAACGGGCATATTTTACGGAATAACTGACAAAATAATAAACATAGATTTGAAGTTTCCGAAGGCTCGCAAGCTTCCAATTACTTCTCGAAATCAACGGGTGTCTTCATAAGAAAGATAAGAGAAGGAAATAAAATCACAGCTCAACCGTTCGACCACATAACATACATGTGATTCCAATGAACATACTTTTGTGCTTTTAGTCTATTTAAATGTGGTCTCGGAAAGCGACGTCCACGTGCAACAAAGGGTTTGTGAAAGGCTATCATGATCTGTGGATTAAGATGGACTTTGCAACCATTGCGGAAGTTTGTTACGCTGGAAATTGCAGTTTCGAGCTGTTAGATATACACGACTGTTTCAGTTTAAGTTTAATATGAGCGTTATGATTTAGATAGATTATATAGCGCGGGTGTCATATTTAGTTATTTTTGTTTACATGACTGTTTATGAATGGTACATTGTGTAGTTTAGTTGTTATGAATTAGCGATTATTTAAACTAGTGAGATTATTGCATCATGCTGCTAGATCTTACTGAGTTTCTTGTAGGTTTAACAGAGAATTATTGCATCAGAATACCTACTACTGCATGGAATGTTCTAGACTTCTGTCGGGGTATAACTACGCGTCTAAAAATCATTATCGAGTTCTAGTTATAGCTGTGTGATCGTGAATTTAGCGTGTATGGTGGATAGAGTGTATAGTGGCGATTTTTAAAGTGAAATTATCAAAGACTGTGTTGTAATAACAGAGTGAGGAATAATAATTCGTCTTGTCAAGTGTGTTCTAAAGTAACTGAATCAAACTGTGTGGACTTTGACGAAAAGGAGACAATTATTTACACCTCTGGATACAACTGTGGTAACCAACAGTGTAACAAACATTTGTATATACGTTTGATTTGTTTTAACATACTGTTTTAAAACAAGTGTACTGTGTTGCTATTTGTTTATAGTTGAAGTTTATCGCCAACAAGTCACAGACATCTACTGTAAAGAATCCGGCCCTACAAAACCTGATAGTGGAAAGACAGCCAGGATCTACAGTGATAAATGGCAGTAGAAGAAAATATACACAACAGCGGCAAAGAAGCCTATATACATACTGTTGCAGTGTTAGTGAAAATATTGTAGAGGTCACAACCACACTATATAACCATGTTGACTGACTTTGAAAAGTGGATAAAGAGGGGCCAGTGACTTGGCCTCAAAGTTGGCAATCTACTACAGTTTGTTAAACAACAACAAGACTTAGAGAGAGAAGAGCATCAACAGAAGAGAGGAAGAAAGAGAAAGATTGAAAAATTAAAATAGAATGTGAGCATAAAACAAAGCCAAAAAAAGAAAAAGAAGAAAAGGAGAGAGAAGAGAGACGGAAAATATAGAATAAAAGCACAAATTTAGATCGCCAAGTTCACCCAACAGAAAGATAGAGACCCAAGAATGACAATGAGGCCCAAGCTGCCCAAACTCGATGAACAGAAATATTACATGGATGCTTTCCTGGAGAGGTATGAAAGATTTGCTCAAAGTCAGAACTGGGACAAAGATGACTGGGCAGTCTGTCTCAGACCCTATCTTATAGGAAAAGGCCTACAAGTATAAGCTGGCATGACGTCAGAAGATGCCATGGACTATGACAAGTTAAAAGGAAGTGCTGTCATCATGATTAAAGAGTGCAGGATTGATGATCAGATAAAGTTAGCAAATTGGTCAAAGTGCCAGTGGTGATTGGAGTATGTGACAAAAATTAAGAGGTGCTAATGGACCACAAATGCCAGTAGGTGAAGGCTATGCTAGGGACAAGAAATTGAAAGTCCTACAAGATACTAGGTGCAGCAATGGGAACCAATCTAGTATCTGGTGATTAGATGACAGGCAAGGTACATCTGTGTGTGCTGATTTATGGACAGTGAGGAAGTTTCCCATAGCAGGAATAAAGGTGGTCACTCTATACTATATGGGAGACTTTGAGGCCATATGTATGAAGGTACATATCTACGACTTGGTGATTGGCAATATGCCAGGCAGTAGAGGTTAAGAGGAATCAGAAAAAGACCAGTCATCACCAAAGCTCAAGAAAAGAAAAGCAAGCAAGAAATCAAGCTCCTGCAAGTCTCGAAGTGTGACATCCCGAAGGTAGGTCTGTGGGAACGGAAGGAAGTACAAGCGAAAGACTGCAGAAGCTTTGAGACAGTACCTGGGAGAAAGTCGAGCACAAGACCAAGGAGAAAGGGACCTACAGGATAGTGGACTAGAAGGAAGGGCTGTACCAGATCTATGAAGGTGGTTCTACAGGTGAAGTTAAACAGATTATAGTACCAACAGAATACCAGAATCGCATGAGTCGATTGTGGGAGGACACCTAGAAGCAAAGAAGATGGAAGACAGAATTACCAGCAACTTCCATAATTTGGGGGTCATCAGATATGTGATCAGATTCTGCAGGTCCTGTGACATCTGCCAAAGGACAGTTCCTAGAGGGAAGGTGGCCAAGGTGCCATTGGGTGAGATGCCTCTCATTGAAGAGTCATTCAGCAGAGTAGCAGTGGACCTGATTCGACCTAAGAACTAATGCAAGAAATGTGCAGACTCATCAGCACTAGGCAACTCTTTACCATCCCGTACAGCCCCAGATATAATTGGCTTCGTAAGAGAGTTGATGGAGTCTTAAGGAGCATGCTGAAAATGTGCCAGGAGTGACCACGTGACTTGGACAGATACCTGCAGGCAGCATGATTTGCTTATCAAAAAGTCCCATAAGTGAGTACAGGATTTTCACACTTCGAGTTATTGTACAAAAGAACAGTATGAGACACAAAGTAGATATCGAAAGAACTGTGGACAGGAGATAAAGGGTCAGAAGTGAGGAACACATGGCAGTATGTGTTAGACCTTAGAAATTGACTGGAGGAGACCTGTCGAGTAGTTAAAGAGGGTTTGTATGCAGCTCAAGACAGTCAGAATCACTTCTATGGTAATAAAGCTAAGGATCGATGTTTCAAGGTCGGACAGAAGGTCATAGGTCTGCTACCTACAGGCAACAACAAACTCACCCTGCACTGGAAGGGACCTTTTGAAGTGCAATAAGTAGTTAACAGAATGGACTACAAGGTGAAAGTAGATAGGAAGACCAAGATCTACCACATCAATCTGTTGAAGAAGTACTTCAAGAGGGAATAAGAGCTAATAGGTGCGGCAATTGAGGCACAGATAGACGTTGCAGGTGTGGCTGTAATAGATGCAGATCCAGAAGACAGCGACCTTAGACTACAGGGTGGAGATGAGATGTACAAAAACATCAACATCATTGAAGAACTGACTAGCAAGCAGAAGAAATAGCTACAAAATCTACTGTGCCATTATGCAGATGTCTTCACAGATAAA